GACCCCGCGTAGTGGGATTAAGGCTTTGTTGTTGTTGTTGTTGTTGTTGTTGTTGTTTGCATTCAGATTTCCAGCTTATTTGCCATTTTATTCTAATTTATGTATAAAAAAAAGGTGGATGAACAGAGATTTATTTTTACGACCTAAAGTTGAAGCATCTAATACACTTAAGGTAACTTAATGATCCCACCCCGCCCCCCTCCCCCAAACCCCCAAACCAACCACCAACCACCAACCACTAACCACCTTTCCAACATATCTGACAACCCCCCACCCTTCCCCTTTTCCCTTGCCACTTCGCTCATAAAACCACTGCTTTTGGATCTTTTCTTCCGGTCCTAGCCGGAGATTGGTTTGTTGTTGTAGTTCCCTTTTTTCGTTTATGTCGTGTTGTAACCCTATTTCAATATTAATAAAAGTTGCTTTTGTTTTTGCTGATTTTCTAACTGATTTCGGTATCATTTGGTATCAGAGCTAGTCTAACCCTAGTCCTATCGCAGGGTTTCCTAGCATTCGCCATAAATCAAAAACTTTCTTTCCTACAACCAAATATCCTTTCCACAACCCAAACCCTAACCCTACCATATTTTTTTCCTATTCCTTAATCCCTAGCCTTGTCACCCAGAAGATATATGCCGGAGCTTACCCGAGAAAAGACATAGCGAGAGTTCTGTCGCCTTCAACAGAGGCTTGCACAGATTGATTGAGTTGACCCAAGTGAAGGTTACCCTCGACCGAGAGGAGAGAAAGAGAAAAAGATCTGAATCCCTTCCATAGGGAGAATTTCAGCGATGAAAAAGACAAACTATGATGTCTCAGAATCCAGTACCAAAGGAGGCCTAGAGAGAGGTATATGAATCTCTTCCCTAGGGAGAATTACAGATAGTAGATATCATTTGGAGAGCAAAGAGACTTCAGACTCAAAGTTGATCTACATAATTTGAGGGAGGTATAGATCCCAAAAACTTCATTGATTGGCTGCAATCTGTTGAACGGATCTTCGAGTACAAGGATGTGCCAGAGGATAAGAAGGTCAAATTAGCCGCTATCAAAATGAAGAAAAATCTCTCTTTATGGGGGGAGAACTTACAATGATAGAGGAAAAGGGAAGGCAACAATAAAATTATCAGGTGGGAGGAAATGAAAAAAGCAATGCGGAGGAAATACCTCCCACCCCATTAACGTCAGAATACGTTTCTGAAACTCTACCGCCTGCATCAAAGGGATCTATCTGTAGAGAAGTTCACGGAGCAGTTTGATCAGTTACAGATGAGGCGCGATATGGTCAAGCCAGAGGAGCACACCATAACCCATTATCTGG